TCAAACCCAGCACAGGCCAAAAAAAAAAAAAAAGAAATTTGTTTCATTCTCAATCAATATTCCAGTTAAATTGAAGATCTATGATAAATAAAAGATACTAAAAATACGTTAGCAGACTGCTGACAGAACTAGAGGAGATATTTGTAATAAATGAGAAGGTCAAATGTCCATGCAAATGAGCAATAAAAAACCTATAGCCAACTGACACAAAAATAGGCAAAGGCTGGGGATTTATTATAGAAGAAAGATTAAAAGGTCATTTAGCATACGAAGGATGCTGAAAAGCTTACAGACAACCAGACTAATTCAAATAGAAGCAAGAAGATACTGATTTGCCTGGTATACGAGCAAAACTCAGAAGGCTGAGTAATATCCATTGCTAGCTGTGACATGGAAAGGACTATACGCTCATGATCTATGGTGACAATGAAGATTGTTTCAGCCACTCTCAGGAGCAATCGCCCACTTATTAGGAAACGTAGGAAATGAAATATATACATATCTCATGGCCCAGCCTCCCTCATAACTTTGTAAAGTGACATACATGTATATTGCAGTGTTATCCAAAGTGGTAGGTGGCAGGTTTGGGGCAGCCTAGATGATACTAGTCAAGAAATCAATAGGTAAACCATGGAAGGTATCCTCATGGAATTCAATGCCGCTTTCAGAAGAAATCAGATGTACACTTAACAACGTGGGCAGATCTTCGAAAAAACAAGGGACAGAATAATACACATAATGCAGTACCATTATATAAACTAAAACTAAACATAAACAATATCTATTTGGCACGAACTTATAAACAAAAAGTTATACACTAAACTCATTAACATGATTGGCCATGGTATGAGGAAAAAGAGAATGAGTGAATGAATGAATGAATAGCAGCACATCCCCACAGCCCTTCACCAGAGCAGCATAGAAACTGTTTTTGACAAGATCACAAAGAAAATAACAGTATCTATAACAGGAAAACTAATGATTATCACTGATTGCCAACCATAAGCCCTGTAATATGTCACATGCCTTCCCTGTGTCTTCTCTCCTATGTTCCTCAAAGCCCCAACATGACCAAGGCATTGCTATGAGTTACATTAGCTACATTTCACATACTCATATTTGAAGAAACAGAAGTCTAGAGAGGCCATGTGACTTGCCCAAGCCACAGAGCAAGGAACAGGGCGGGCCGAGCCTTGTACGTGGTGGGTCAGCTTGCAGACTCTGTTCTGTAGTCTACCTTCTGTGCCTCCCATGTCCTCCATAGGCCTCTTATCAGATCTTGCTTCATGTCAAATCCACCACCCATCATGAGAGCTCCCAGAAGCTCTCCTGGCATCTAAAGACTCACAGACATCCACATCCTTTGCCCTCCTCTTCTCCTCCCTCTTATACTCTGTTTTTTTCTTCTCCAGTGAAATTGGAATGACTCTAGTCTGCCTTGATTCAGAGAATAATTGTTAAGCATTCCTCCTGCTGGACTCTGGGTATGGTTATCAATGTGGCAGCTTTTCTCTTAATTTCCCCAAATACAATTTCTCTAAACAGATTCTTCTCTTGCAGGAAAGTTGAAGAATTTGTATTGAAGTTACCATGAAGAATTATAAAACTTCCTGAATGCCCAGATGGCCAAGTGAAACACAATGGTTACCTGCTTGATTATACCCCCTTGAGAGGAAAATTAATGATTAAGATTAAACGCTTTAATTTCCTTCCTTAGTAAATGATTCTCAGCAGAAAACCTGGCTGGCAAACATTTCTCTTGGTTAATAAGAATCTTTTTAAAATATCAGATACTGAGTATTGTGCAGTGGTAGTATTGTAGCTGATGAGGTTTATCTGAGGTGTAATTACTGCTAATTAAAATATCAGATATTCCTGGGTTTCAGCACCAAAAAATCCAGATATTCTCATCCTAAAACTACTTACCTTGTGTCATGGATTCCCTCTGTTCTTATGTACTTTGTGAGCAAATGACCACATAAATCCAAAATAAGAGAATAGGTATCTCAAGAGCAGCAATATTTATAACTGAGGGTTTTGTCATTATTGAGCTAAATATGTGACGTGTGAGTGACATAGCTTTCTGTATATCAGGATCTGGCTTCTTCAAGAACACCCTTCAAGGGGTTCAAATTTTTATTCAAAGAAAACACTTGAACATAATCCTTGGAGTAATGTCCATCCAGTCATAGTAAGTTTTCTAACTACTTCACCAATACTAACTCAAGTTTTACAACAAACTTAAATACATCCCCATTTTATAGACAAAAAAAATAAAA